AGTATGAGTGTATGACCAATATATGATGACTATTTCTTACATCAAACAATCTGATCATTTTATAAAAATTAATAGGAAAGAAGTGTGGTACAAAATAATAAAATATCATAAGCCTCTCAAATTGTGTGGCAATGACTCCCTTAGATGCAATTAACCCTATTGTCATGGTATCATAAAATTCTAAGGATTTAATGCATGTAATCCTAAAAATCTTTTTCTATCCATGGAGAAACTCGTGTTTTTAACTAAAATAGTTAACCGTACCCATAAAGATCCAATATTAAATCTTTTTGCAATCCGGACATAATAAGGATATAAAGAATATTAACTATCCCGAATGAATTTAGAAAGAAAAAATAATCTTATAAGAGCTAGGGTTTAGAAATGAATCTTATATCAATCATGCATGACTGTGGTATCACTTAACCCTAGATTAAGAAGAGACTATTGAATTATGACTATGTAGATAAAAGGCAAATAATTGGAATAAATAAAAAAATCTTATAATTACAATAGAATAGATATAGAGAGTAGAAAATTCCTTAAATTATGAAAATTTAGATTTTCGTACAACAATAGACTAATAGAGTGCCAAGAACACACTTCAATACATTACAATACAATTTAAATAAATTAGAGTTTGTTTAGAAATTTATAGTATTTACATTAAATGATAAACGAGTTAGGCCATATTCGTCACGATTGTCCACTTCATACAACCAAGGAGGTTTCACATCAAAATCATATGGTAATGAGAGGAGTACAGTAACACCCCTTAGCCTTATAAAGTAGACACAATTGTTTCTTTAAATGTGGGATAAAATTCTTAAAACTTTTACACTTTTTTTTTAATATGGGACAACACTTTCACTCACATGTGGGTTTGCTCATGTGCTCAACATTAAACCAGAAATCAACTTTCGAAAAGGCGTAAATAATATGATCGTCCAAGTGAGATGAATGGGACATGCAAAAAGTGATATGTTTTAATTATTGAGGTTAATTTTTTCTATCTGATTTTATTCCTGTAAATCTGTAATAATTATGCTTCAATTTTATAAGACTGAATTTTCTTCTGTCTTCGTTATTTTGTATCATTTGAACAACATTTAAACCCTGATTATTTAGACTTATTTTTAGCTCAATTCAATTTAATCCAGTTCAAAAATTAATCTAGCTCAAAAAGAACATGGCTTATTCTCTTTGTTTAAAGAACATCAATTGTACACATGTAGTGGTGTTAAAGTATTAGTTAGGAGGACATGTACGTTGTTAATTTGTCATTGCTTGTTGTATACTTAATGTATGTGTATGTAAGAATTTGTGCTTTTCTTGCTTTCTCCTACTTTAGTTCAAGGAATAAGATGTTATCTTGAAATTGATCAAAGATAAACGATATCCCTAATATGATTGTTTTTATTCTTAACACAAAGTCTTAAGTAAAACAAGGGGGGCCCACTTCACATGGATTCACGTGTCGATGTTAATTAACCACTAATTAGCATTACCTAATCAAAGTTACATAGTCTTAGCATCCTAATGTTGAAGTTGGACGGAGAAGATTATCATGGTCCACATAATTTTAATTAATCAAATATTAATATGCGTTATGCCTATGACTAAAAAACAAATAAGGTTACACTTTCATGAAAACTATATTTTATATAATTTTTGTGTCATAATTGCAAGGATTGTTGAAAAGGAATCCGTAAAACTTGCATTAAGAAAATGTGGACCACACGATAAAAAAAAGCCTAATTATAATAATCACACTAATAAAGTACAAATATTAAAGTTTGGTTCTTAATTAAATTTAATTAATACACAACTCACACTAGTGGTGGGGGAATCATTTCACCAGCCATGAAAATTTAGAGGTGCATGTTCGCTGTCAAAGTCGCCTTTGAATAGTTGAATTGATGTGGAGGCGTTTTCCAATTGGCTAATCTAAATTAGCCCGTGAAATTCCAGTTTTTTCAAAAACACGCCGTGGATAGTTGTTTGGTAGACATGTACTTATACGATATGTTTATATAAGTAACTTTTTAGGAAGTAAAATGATGGAGGTTGAATTGTATGATGATCTCGAGTTATTATTTTATTAATCAATCGTAGAAGTTGTTTACCTAGTTTCTCCTCAACAATTGAATAAGTAAAAGTGAAAGGTGAAACTATGTGATGGTTGCATAATTTTTTTGATAGTGTTTCTATTGTGCAACTAAAAGTTGAGTGTTATAGTGTTCTATTGTGCAACTAAAAGTTGAGATTTCTCCCAATGGTATATATGTGTTCTAGTTAAAAGTTAACTAATTTGAATATTAGCCTATTACTACTGCCTTTGTTTGATCAAATCATTCAGTATGTCCCAATTCTTAACTTAGTGTACAACACCAACTTTACACAAACACATCGTTTATTTATTATAATAATGTCATTTATATTACGTAGTGTTCACTATCTCTCCCCCATCATAAGTAATAAGTAGTTGTATAGTTGTATTACTTGTATATTGAATCTTGGTTGAGAGGATTGCCCAAAACCGGTTCAAAAAATGTGACAATTTTTTCTTAATTAAGTAAGCTTGACTTACATTTTCGAACAGAGAATTTAAAAATTGTTTTTAATAGATGAAAAATTATAGGCTTGATTAATGAGTTGGATAGAATTATGAAGAAAAGTTTTTTTTTTTTTTTTTTTTTTCATTCATTCAATGTTGGGCTGCTTTTTAATAATTCATTCCTCGTCAATTTAAGTTACATGTAATTTACAATTTAGGATATTAGAACTCCAAAATTTAGGAGCAAAGGCAAGCTATATAGCTTATTGTTTCTGGAAACATATTACTCTTGGAAGTGTTAGGGTATTTTGGGTATATCAAGATGTCCTAGATCATATGTTCAATAGCCCAAAAGTCCTTGAGCTCCGCTTACAAGAGTGTCTGAGAGCTCTGCCTGCAAGAGAGAAGGTTAACTACTTCGATGGTCCCAGGAAAACCCCTCCGATGCTTTAGTTAGTGAAATGTACTTTTAAAAGAGAGAAAGTAGCTAAAAGAGAGAAAGTAGCTAGAGATAGAGAGAGAGAGAGTACTATCTAGAGAGTGAATGTAGAGAGAAAATGAGAGAGATTAGAAAAGAGAGAGAGAGAGTACTTTCTAGAGAGTGAATGTAGAGAGAAAATGAGAGAGATTAGAAAAAGTTACCATTATTAATCATTGGCTGGCTATTTACAGATATACTTCATAGGACATATTAGAGGTAAATTTGTATTTTATGATGATAAATAGATGGCTAAGGATGGTAGGTTGGATCATGAAGGAGTATTTTCGCCATTTCAGATACATTGGGCTTACGACATGGACTAGACCCAAACACTTACAAAATACAAACACCGTTTAACTATCATATTTCTGCTAGACTCAATGTTAGACGCCAACACCTGTAAGACACACCTATATAAGTGTTACACACACATAAAGAAAAAGGTTTTTTTTTTTCTATTTGTTTTATTGGCACTTGAACACAAAGCATTGGCCTACTTTGACAAGATTTCTCTTACTGTTGGATATGCCATATTACCATGAACCCATTTTGCAATGTTGATGGTGATACTTTCACACTTGGTGTCTAGAATCTGTGGTCGGAAAAGTAATTGTTTCACCCTATGTATGAATAAAATAAAACTGTATTAACATAGTAATATTAAATATGTGGTCGGAAAAGTAATTATTTCACTATATGTATGAGTAAAATAAAGAGCATTATCATAGGAACAATGCCTAATTAAGCTCATAAAATCACATCATAATAGTAATAGACTAATAATGCCTATCTATAATAAGTGTTGCAAAATGAGGATCTAGGAGATAGAAGGATAGTTCCCCCCAAGTGATGGGGTCTCGGTTACTCATCCCCCCATTCCTGTGATAGGGTGAAGCTCACGATCTCTTTAACCTTTGAATTATGTCATGATATGTGCCCTTTATTGAAAACGAAATATATAAGGTACATCACAACATAATAAACAAAAACCAATAAATGTAAGACTGTAATATTTATGACGATTATTGTAATACATGTAATATTTTGGAGCATTATTCGGGCCCAATAACTAAATTAAGTTCATAAACTTGCATCATCGTAGTAATAGTGCCTAAATTCGTTTTAAGAAATGAAAATCAAGCACTCTTAGCATTAACAAGTCTTTTTAAGGTATCTGAAAATAGTTCACATTATATAAAACAATTGTCAAAGCAGAGCAAGGGATATTTTGAAGTTCGATCGATATATAATTAATCCACTCAATGTGAATAAGGTAAGTAGAAATTAAACCAAGAAGGAAATTTGAGTACACTCTCGCCGTAATTCTCATTTCATCCCAAAATAAATCTCATTAATATATCAATCACAAATCATTTTTATTCAATTTTTAAAATATATGTTTAATCAAGCAAATTGCATTATCTCTTTCTGTTGTCAATTATACTCATCGTTAATCAAACTCTGCTATTTTATTCTTCTTGTTACTATATTAATAATTTATACAAACAAAAAAAAAAAATACAAATGAGACTTAAATTTGGACATTTGGTAGAAAAGAACATAAAGCAATATACACAAAGTAATTAACACCTTAATGAGGTTATGAGGTAGTAAAAAATACTTAATTATTTCGACGAAAAAGAAGATAAAGCTACCTCTATAAAATTAACACCGTAACGAGGATTGATGAAGTGACTCAAGGGGGTTTGGACATTTGGTGATACTCGGTATGTTTTTTACACTCTAAACACCGAGCTGAAATCCATGACAACACCACTCGCGGAGGAATCAAAACTTCAGTTCAAGTCCAAACTAGAAGATTTCCAAGTTAATGTATGCCTTGGGTAAAAATAACGGAGCCAATCCAACAACTGCAGATGGGAGAATCAAAAGGCGCCTGGAAGGGCATATGATCCCTTGGCTAGTTGGCTACCAATTAATTCAGTAAGCAGGTCATGGAAGTTGTCGAAAGAATTAGCATTAAAGCAAGGGTTATCATATATCATTAGAAGAATACATCAGGCAGACTACAGGGCAAATAATAAGGATACACCTTTTATCACTTGTTACTTATGTTTCTTCTTTGACTGTGGTGTCGTGGGAGGAAGAGCAGGTCTCTTTTTGGCAAAAGAATAAGTTCTACTGTCTAAATTTTCGTCATCATCCTCATCGCCATTATCTATTTCATTCTTTGGAGGTGGAATGGAATCCTCATCACCAGCAGGTTTCTTTCTCCCTGCACCAAACTTCTTATGTAATCTCCTCTCAACAGGGTCATATATAGGTCCAACTTTTGATTTACGAGGAACTTTTGCCCCAAGACCAAGCCTACAAACACACATTAACAAACTGTAATAAGTTTCCAAAACTACTGACCAGTATTTGATTCAACTTCCCTTCTTTAGTTTCCTCTTCAATAGACGATGGTGTAAGAAATGGCTGATGAATTTAGAGGACAGAAAACTAACCTAACAGGTCTAGCTTCCACTTCTATCTCCTCTGCCTCCTCCTCATCTCCAGGCATATTTTTAACCCACTGCTCAGCCTACACATAAGCAGCAGAATGATAATCTTAAGCAATGTGCCAACGTGAAGCCTGTCTTTATTCAGGTTGACACATAATATTAAAAGGAACCAACCACAATACTTACCAATTTAAACCCCCTGTTAAGTGTCATAAGTTTGGGCAATGATGCTGGTGGCTTCTCCTTTGTACTCATGATCTGCAGGGATAAATCTCGATTAATTTACTTATAATGGAGTACATTAACATTCACAAATTTAAATTGCATAATTCCAGGAAACAAAGGACAAATAATCGACACCAGTCTCTAAGGTAAACATGGTCAGTAACTTTTTTTTGAATTTCAACTCCCAACCCCCCTTTTTTCTCTAAAACAGCCCAACCTCTACCCATACTGTCACAAACACAATAGCTCCTTTTCAACTTCTCCAAAACTCAATAAATTGTGTTGCTTACCTAACTTTTTGTTCAATATTTTGTAAAGCAGCTTCGACCTAAATAGATAATGGCAGGCATATCCCTCAGAAGGCAGTGACAGTGCCATAGCATACGCAAGGATGATTCACAGATAAAAGTTGTAGTTGCAGAGAGAGGGAGAGAGGATCCCTTATGATTCAATAAATTTTTTTACATCAATTTCTACTAACAAGAAATCTTCATAATTCAAAATAAGATCACGGGATTGGATGATTCTACCAGAAATTCAGACATACACAAGATAATCATAATCCAACAGGATAAAGTATTCAGTTTTGAAGATAGAGAGCTCTACAAACTTTATACTTAGCTATCAAATAGTCAACAAAACATGATTACATCACCCCACAATACATTCAAAAGAAATTGCACCAATGCACTACAAACTTGAACCATAAAACACGAAAATAAATACTGAAACCTCATCAGCTCATCTCGAACCTAAAATAGTTTCCCCCTCCCCAACTATAACAATAGGAAAGAGCCACTCAAGAAAACGATATGGCTAAATATATAATTATAATAAACAAGAAAATGATATGGCTACTCACAACTCCTCTGTTCTAGAAAATAATCATGGCAGCTACCATGTTTGAGATGGTATGCATCTTCTGTACTGATAACTAATGAGCCACATTGTACAGCCCCTCGTTTTAATACCATCAAATAGGATGTCATCTACTTCTATAGATACATTAACGTATTAGACCCATTCCATCAAGGGAACAACACATTTACCCTATTAGATACCATCGTAGATCATCAATTTATAAAATGCATGTCAGCTAATCAAAATGCTATCTTAGGAGGAAGTGAAAGTGAAGTCCAAAGCAATTCAGATCATCAATCTGTTTCCAAATCTCCCTCGTCAATTTGTTTTAACTTGATTTGTACTCTATGGCCTTTTTTCTGGTATATTATTCTTCTTTAGCTCTATATTATTATTCATAATTAATAACTTTTTTGTGACTGGAGTCACTGATTTAGCTTGTACAAGTATTATGATGAAAATTACATGCACTTTAGGATGTTTGATTGAACTTCAATTGTGATTTAATTTGCTGATCATTATTAGTTTAAGTTAAATAAAAGATTTGTTGCTATCATTATGTGAATTTATCAGATAGAAAAGGTCACTATAGTAGTATAGTTACACAGCAGTACAATAACATATTTCAATTAAAAAAATGACAGCAGTTCCTCAAGGCCCAACTATTTTTTTCATAACATCCTATTTTCAGACATTAATACTTGTATGTATGTATATATATATATATATATCAATGTTACACCACACTTTTTGTACCAATTATGAACGCAACAGCTCGAAAATTCAAGAAAAGACGCTATACATGTTAAAGATGACTTACTGCACAACTATTTTCTTGAGACAACACCAGCAAAAAAACGCATATTAATCAAACATAATATGTAAGATCATGAGCCCTAAAAAAATATATCTGAGATCATGAAGAGCAACGACCTTAAACATACATAATTAAAATTCAAAAGGATTCAGGCAAAATTTTAAAGTTTTACAACCAATATCAGCAGGAATTGATTGAGCAGCAGACATTAAATTAAGTTAGAGTTAATAGGATAACCAATTCTGTGTAAATTAGAATTTTGGGGGAGATTAAGGACAAAGATGGGGAAAACTTATGTTCATCCCTGTTTATTATCATCTTAACCATAGGAGGACTTAACCCTACAAAACCCATCAATAAATTTCAACAAAAACATAAATTTTCATAAAAATCAAATATACAAAATTTATTAGGTTTGATGTGTCAAATTGATTACTTAATTGATTAAGATTTAGCTTGAACTTGTCAAATACAATACGATGTATAATTGATTTGCATTTAGCTCAAATAAGTCAAGTTAGCAACAAACAATATAAAACTGTGTAAAATTCCCCAAAATTGCAAATTAAATCCAATTTCAGTTTAAAAAATCAAGGAAAAAAAAAAGCACAAACCTGATGAATGGATAAAAGAAACTAATATGCTTGATTTTGTTGAGCGTGATTAGCTCGAATTTGATGCAGGATTTATCAAGAGAAACTGCAGAGGTAGAAATAGAAGGTGAGAGTGAGAATATTAGGACTACAAAACAAGGATTATGTCAATAACCCTTTTAAGGCCCGCCCTAACCCATTTTTACATAAATAGTTAGCTGACCCTTAAATAATATTCACAAATAACCTCACAACTCCAAATGCAAATTTCTGCTCTCCTCCATTGTATGTAACATCACCACTATTATGTATAATTTCTTCTTCCAAATAACAATAAAGAAGAAAGTTTGAGAACTCTAGGTTCTAAGCAACAAACAATTAATCACCACATGAATCAATAGAATTCATACTAACAACATAATTAAAATTTCGAACAATTAACTTGGCTATTTCAATAGGGTGTCTCTACTTCCAAAATTCTACATAATAGTGGTGAACAACTAACCCAGAATAAGGGTGTCTCTACTTTCAAAAGAACTACCAGATCGAAAGATAACTTCGAAAAAGTGGGAATTTTTTTCAAATCATATATACTATAACCTTGCTTCTTAAGGTCATCAGGTTTAGTGTTTAAGATTCAGAGTTTAAGGATAAAAGAATAAATGAAAAATTAATACCTAGAAGCGTAGTTTGCTGCAAAAAGTAAGCAAATTTGAAGAATCTCATAAAAAAAACAATCCAATTACAGAAACAACAAAATCCAAATTACCCAGTGGCGATTCCAGGATTTGCTCGTTATGGGTTCGGACTCTCCAAACAAATTCAGGGATAACAAATATCATAATTCAAAATAAAATTCGAGTGTGCACAATACCTGTCAATTACAACAAGTTTGAAAGATTTATGTTTTTGGATTTCAACAAGCATCATATATAGAAAGTTGGCTAAGATCGTTAGCTTCTCGAAACCTATCATCCCTTCGCATTTCTTTAAAAAAGTAGTCTAGCTCAAATCCAAGCCTTACCAAATCATTACTTGAGAACTGAATTGGATAATATTCAGCAAGTCTAAGCAACTTTTGTGTATTAAAGAAGCAAAGTAATTAACCGGAATAAACAAGTATCACATGGCCTACCTATGCCTAGCTCTTGGTTTAATCCTTGCCCACTCTCAAGCTCACCTAAATTTAATGCTTCTGCCACTTTTTGAGCTTGAATCTCTCGTAGCCATTCTTTTTTCTTCGTAGAAATTCCAATAATTCAACAAAAACCCAAGTTCTTCAAATACCCAAACACAATCATCATTATCTCATGTTCAATTAACAATTAACAATTAACAATTTAACATTCTACATTTTACATTACATTCACAGAATCACATGTTCACATACAAATGTATGAAATCACAATTTCAATTAACAATTTACCAAAAAAAAAAAGATTAATTAAAAACTACACCTGAAGACTGAAGTTTTGATTTGTCGAAGAGAAAGAACTCAGAGAAGGCTGAAGGAAAGCAGGCGAACGCCGGTCATCCGTCGGCGGAGTGCGGCCAACGTCGATCTGAAAGCGGCGCCGGTCCTTGAATGAGAGTGAGGGGAGAGAAAGTCAGGGAGAAGTTAGGGTTCTTCGATGTTTTCTTTCTGTAAAATTAGGAATTAAATTGAAGAAAAGTAAAACCCAAAATTAAAAGAAAGGATATAAAGGTGTTGGGTATCGAAACCCTGACCTTTGTCCCAAAGTGTAAGGTTTTCACCATAAGAACGCGGGATGTAAAAGTAAATATATATGCGGAGTTTAATATTTAGGAAAAATGGAAATTAAAAATCCAACCATTGCACTTTTTTCTCCTAAAAATCCAACCTTAAGTTTATTCTACAAAAATCCAACCTTTATACCCCATCTTCATCTAAAGATCTATTACGTGTTGGTGACCGGTTTTTATAAGTTATATGCCACGTGTCAGCTTTTTATAGGCTTATTATTATTTTAAATAATTAAATAAAAAAATTAAAAGAAAAAAAAAAATCAAAGCCCCTAACCCCCCTTTGACGGCCAAATGACCACCCTTACGCCGCCATCCTGATCAGAACATCCCACCTCTTCCCCTTCCCCTTCCCCTCCCCACCTCTCCTTCCCCGGCAACCCAACCCGACCCCCAAAACCTCAATAGTCCTCCCCAATTAATTTGAATTGGCTGAATTGGAGCTTTAATTTTTGTTGGCTGCTCTGTTTGAGGAGGGAGATAGTGCGGTTGTCGGGGTTGAGCGAGTGAGATGGTGTAGTTGTCGAGGTTGAGTGAGGGAGATGCGAGGGAGATAGTGCGATTGTCGGGGTTGAGTGAGGGAATGCGAGGGAGATATGAACGTGCTCTAGTGTTTGTTGTCCAGGGTGTTTTCTTCAATGCTTACTTCCTCGCCTAAATTGTGTCTCCTAAGCTTGCCCATCGTATTGTGGGTTACCTCGAGGAAGAAGCCATCCACTCATACACTGAATTTCTTAAGGAGATTGACAATGGAAACATCGAGAATGTGCCTGCTCCTGTAGTTGTCGGGGTTGAGTGAGGGAGTGCGAGGGAGATGGTTGAGTGAGGGAGATGCGAGGCAGCAAGGGTCGAGTGAGGGAAATGCGGTTTGTCGGGGTTGATATGCGGCGTTCTGGTTGCGACGGAGATATGACAGAGGTGTATGTTGGGGTTTCAAGGTGTAGGCTGGGGTTTCAGGGCAGCAAGGAGTGTTAGGGGGGCAGGAGGGTTGCAGCAAGGGGTGAGGGGCAGTTTTAGGTGGCAAGGTGTTTTTGGGGTGGTGGACCGGTGGTTATGGTGGGCATGGAAGGGGGATGGGGAGGTAGGAGGATAGTGAATAATAATAATTAAAAAAAAAATCTATTTTAACTTGTTTAACAGGTTTTAGGTTAAATGGATATGTTGGAGAAGATGGGGTATAAAGGTTGGATTTTTGTGGAATAAACTTAAGTTTGGATTTTTAGGAGAAAAAAGTGCAAAGGTTGGATTTTTCTTTTCCATTTTCCTAATATTTATTCCTATTATTATTATTATTATTATATATATATATATATACTAGATGAAGCCCGTGCGATGCACGGTTTGTTAGTATTTTTTTATAAAAATATTTTTCATATTTATGTGATTTTTTGTTATTATATTAGCTTTAAAATATTAGATAAAATTCCTAATCTAAAAGGATAATATTTTGTATTTAATTAATTTAAAATTTAGAATCTCATTCGTCAATTTTGCTTACGTGACATTTTAATTATTTAATTGTAAAAAAAATTAATAATCTCTTATTTAATTGGCTACAACTTAAATTTATAATCCTACATGGCACGCTAAGAAAATTAAATTCTACGTGGCTCTCTAAAAACTCGGGGAAAAACTCCCCTTTATATATATATATTAGATTTTTTTTTAGTATGGGTTCAGCTGAACCCATACTTGAATCGCCACTGAAATTACCCATTCAATGACAACTAATCGCAACAATCAAAACCAGAGCAGCCAAATAGAAAAATGAAGAACAATAAACTGCCTTGCTCGAATTTTCGATAGCCGCCTACAGCTCTGCTAGTAGATCACCTAAAACTCTGACGGGAGGTCCGCTACTGCTCCTACGGGTGTTATATTCGCAGGTCACCAGCTGCGCCGACAGTTGATTCACGTCTGCTCGACGGCTGAGTAACTGCCATTACAAAAATTTGAAACGTCTAAGAAAGGTTTTAGGGAGGTTTTCAGATACGAAGTAATTCTATACTATATATTAAAAGGTGTTCCTAAAGAAGTTTAGGTGTTACGCGATGCTTTCTTCAAGGTGTTCCTAAAGAAGTTTAGGTGCCACGTGACGCTCTCCACATTTAATCCGATTATTACTCCATGTCTAAAAATATGGTTCTTAAAAGATTTGAACCAAACATGTTAGCCACTAAGTTATTACCATATTACATGTCAATCAATAAAAATTAAATATTAATAAAGATTTTTATCATGAAAATAATGCAGTAACTCGGGACATTACCGGGGCCTAACACTATTTTCTTTATTAAAAAATGGGTCATTTAGGCCCAATCCATCCCACGTTGAAGCACGACTCGATCACTTGGCCGGGAAAGCTTAAATGTTTTGGCCTGACCAAGTTTAATTTTGGATTACACTTACAAAAATTCACCTCACTCCTACAATTGTAAAGTTTACTTTTGCACTATAAAACATCATTAGGAGACAACATCTCCTCCTTTTACTGAAGAATCCCTTTGAACAGTTGAACTAGGTGAAATGTGACTTCCTCGCACGTTTCTAAAAAGACTATGACCCTGTTTGGTTTGATGTAAAAGGTTTTCATGGAAAATGAATTTTTCATTTTTTTTTCCCATTTTCCTTTGTTTGGTTTGTTATGGGGTGGAAAATTCCATCCTTAATGAAGGAAAACATTTTCCTTCCCAAAACAAGGAAAGCCACATTTTCCTCTCTCCTCCTTACCTCTTTTTTTACTTCCCTCTCATTCATCCTTATATTTTCACTCTTATTTTTTATTTTTCTTGGACTTTTCTTGTATGCAACCAAACAAAGGAAAACTGATTTGCAATTGTGTTTTTCCTTGAAAATATATTTTCCATGAAAATTAATTTTCCATTGAAAATATTTTACATTAAACCAAACGTGGCCTATATTGAAAACTCTAAAATCCACATTAAGATAAAATAAAATTCATACAATTACGGAGTATTAAAGAAATTACATGGTATTATGGTAACATTGGAAATCTAGCTTTTATATAATAAATCAATAACACACAAAATGCTAATAATCAATCAAGACATCAAATAAATTTTACATCAATCATCAATTAAAAACCCCTAACAACTAACCAAGAATCTAACTTCACAAATTCACAATAAATTATTCAATTATATTTCAAATAATTAAAAAACAATTATCAATTAAATTAAAAAAAATGTTGAACTTACTGTCTCAAAGTGTGTTGGGCAGCGGGGCAGCCGGCAGCTCGAACTCAGCTGCTCAATCGAGGAGTGGATGTGCCGAAGTGCTTCTGTCGTCCTGTGGCGCTGTGTAGCAAATGGCTCGGTGTTAGGCAGGCGGCAGCTCGGACTGCAGTCTGGTGTCGTGGGCAATGGCCGGAGGGACGGGGGCTCATGGGCTCGGTGGGAAGTATTGTTTAGGAGTTTGAGTTAGGGTTAAGGGAAATTGGGAAAATTGAGAAAATGGAAATTGGGAAGTGTAATTCGAAACTAGTTATTGACCCGGGCGATGCCCCGGATCATCGTAAATTATAAGTTTGATTAAATTAATTTAGAAGAGTTAATGTTGAACAATATTAATAACTGATGACAAAAGTCATAAGAGATGTAGATGAGAGAGAGAAGGAAGCATGATTTCATTAATTTCAGAGTACTGCATATTACAACATTCTTTATATATACAAGCCTATCATTACAACGGTAATCAGCTAAGGACAAAAGAATAATCAAAAGGACAATCCAAAATTCTATGTGATAGGCTGTGCTGACATCACTCACAACGAGGCAAAAGAAATAACAGAAATAAAAGGAAATAGGAACGAAGTTTCCCTCTCATCACTCCCCCTCAAGCTTGATGAGCATGAGAAGTAACTCCAAGATTTCCTAGTAGATATTCATGTTGTTGCACTGGCAGAACCTTGGTTAGAATGTCAGCCAGTTGTTCTAAACTACAGACATAAATTGGCTTTACAACAGATTCTTGAACTTTCTCTCTCACAAAATGTTGATCAATTTCAACATGTTTGGTCTTTTCATGCAGCACTGGATTAGATGCAATAGAAATAGCAGCCTTGTTATTACATCTCAGAATAGTAGGTGTAGACACCTAAAAATGTCTCCCCAAAACCAAACCCAATGATGAACAACCTTTCACCGCCATTATTGGTCGGGTTGAGTATGTAATCTTTGGAGTGCTTAAATCCATGTTCATTCCTGTAGGGAATAACTTCAAGCGTTAATCCCACTAGCTTGAACCCCACTGTGATCATACACTAGAGTACGGTGGCGTCCAAAAGGGAAGAAGATAGAGCAAAAGAGTCGCCAACAAGTTTTAGGAACTTGTAAACCGTTCACGAGGTGAAGGTTACACCCCTTAACGATCCAAGAGATCGTCAACTCCATAAGGTCTAGAACCAAATAAGGGTACGGGGATGAAGGTACAAATCCAACCTAAAAGAGATTGAACCTGCCCTAATAATAGACCTCTACTTTATTCTGATCGTATTCATGTGCGCTTTTTGATTAACATGCAATCAATAGGTTAACCCTAAACCTGATTAATCTATGTTGGTTGAATTTAATGCACAAATAAATCTATTATTGGCGATCACTTGAATTATAATCACAATTAACCCTAATAAGATTATTAAATATCTTATTAAACGTGATTACAAGTACAAATTCCCTTTAAACATGCAATGAAGGTGATCAAGCAACAAAGAATAAATATCAAGCAACATAATAATCATAATAATAATAATAACAATAATCATAATCATCATAATAATAATAATAATTATAATCATAATCATGTTCATGTTAATATTAAAGCATAATAATAGGAAGATCCTAGGCATGATACTAACAAGATTAATAACAAACCCTAGCATGTCACTAAGCAATAAAAATCAAATCTTTAACCCTAACATGATACTAACATGAATAAATATTAGGAAGAACATAGGAAGCATCGCAACAATCATATTTAATATTAAAAATACCCTAGACATGATACTAGGAATATCATAACAATATAAACATGATGTCAACATCATAATATCAATTAAAACCATTAAAGTACTTACTTTGATTTTTCGTACCTCTTTCTAATAACAAAATACACACGTTAGTAACTTCAAGGAAAATAATAAATCAACAATTAAATTAAATAATTGAAAGAGAGATTTGGGACCAAACCCTCAGAAATTAAACCTTTCACGTCTAGGGCGAAGGCAACTTCGAATATGGCTAGGTGTTTCTAGATCTTGTGAATGCAGAATTTTGTATTTGAGAAAAAGGCTAGTTTAGAAAAAGAGAGAGAGAGAATAATCAAGAAAATCTCGATGAGAGTTGGTGAAT